CTACTCTTTTACCAACGAATAGTGGGAATGACCATCACATTATAATGCCCCCACGGCTGAAAGGGCGAGCATGTTTGGTGGGACGGGGATTTGTACCCGCGACCTTCAGATTGCGAATCGAGTGCCCTAACCACCTGTTCATGCCGGGCCACAATAAAAAAACCAACTCATTTATCTGGATTTGACTAAAGGTAAATTTTTTCAGCTATGCTTTAAACTACTGCAGTGAAATCATTCCATTAATATACAGTAATCTGTTCAAAAATGTACACTCTATCATCTGACAGATTTTTATGAATTTTTTAATAAGTTATACTATATATAAATGCATGTTTTAAAACTTATCAGAGTAACTTTTCTGAATGCATCTCCTACATAGCTGAGTGGTACATCTAGCCCTTTTAGTCTAAATCCAAGTTCAAGAGCTTAAGTAAGAAGGAAGTTTTTCTAAAGTATACATCAAAGCTTGAACGACTTATTTTTTTATTTTTAACAAAACTCCCATTTTGATACATATGGACATTTACATACGGCAAATTACAGAAAACTGTGTAGGCAAAAATAGATATAAGAACATAACACTGAACCAAATATCTAAATAAATTTGCAATTGCTGACAATTTCAGTGGTTATATAGAAATATTTTATAGTGTTATCTTAAAAAATGATACCAAATATTTTAAATAATTATACTTACCATCATATACTGTTGGATGTTTATTCCTAAAGTATACAAGGGTAGGAAATGATGTAACTCCATATTTTTTTGCTGTAGCTTTCTCTGAATTTTTTACAAATCCTATTCCAACATTTTCTGCATCATCATCAATGTTTTCCAATTCTGCTAATACTTTATCACAGTTTTTACAAATTTTGGTATCTGGAAGAAGACTATATCCAATTAAAATTATATACAACAAAAACATATAACAGTAAAAATGAACATGAAAAAGTCCTCCACATTACCACTTACATTGAAAAGATGAAGATCTGATGTACATAATAAATTAAAACTTTTATCACGAATTTCACAAAAGACAGTTTAAAGATACTTATAAACATCAGGATTTATCTGTAGTGTATATTTTTTTCTCTATATTCTTTCCTTTGAATCGTGGATTTCAGCTTTTAATAATTAGTACCTGACTGCTTATTTTTCTGCTTTAATTGATGCAGAAAAAAACACTCAGAGTAAAGTTCAACCTTGGGTATAAAAAATTCAATTTCTTTTGACTATATGCCACTCAAGTAAGATAAAGTTTTAATACCTTATATCTGACTACCTTATAAAATAAAAAAAAACATCACAACTTCTTTAGAAAACTTAAATTGCATCATCTTAATCTTTATAAAATATAGCGATTATCTAACCTTGAACAAAATATTTTGATACTTTTCATTTTAGTAAAGAGGCCATTTTGAGCACAGATAAAAAAAATTATGACAGACATAATTACTTTTTACACAAAACATTAAGTGTATTTGAGATGACTGATTAACATCAGTAGATATTCATAAAATGTTTTTATTTATGACTTAAACTGAACAACACCAAATCAAAATGGAAGAAAAGTTTGCTCCCTGAGACACACATTTTGTACCTTTTGTTTAACAAAGTTAAATTTTTATGTTTTCCTTTTCTTTTTAACTTTAGTGTTACAATATGGGAGTTTTTAGATGCATTTGATACTGGTTTTATAAATAGAAATATTGAATACAAATTGAAGGAGATCATCAGCTCACTCTATATGATGCTAGTTAGATCATATATGGAATACTATATTTTGGTCATCTTATTTAAGTTAAGAAAGGATGTTAATTTGTTGGAAAAGGATCAGTAAAGAGCTACCAGGATGATTCTACAATTGGAATATTTTTGCACAAAAATAGATTGAAATCCCAACATCTTTTTTTCACTGAAGAGGAAAAGGGCTTAGAGGGGTAATAAATATGTTTTTTAATATTGTTAGAGATTGTAACCCATAGATCTACATAATGTCTTTGTGGAAAAAAAAAGGAATAAAATGTAAGGACAATAAGGGACCTGTTGTCTATCTAAACTGTTCCATCCACTAAACTTTAAAATAAAACACTTAACATTAAACATGAAAAAATGATTATGCATAAATCCTTCCTTTTAAGACAGTGTTACTTTTCTAATGAGGTGGTCTGCCTATGGAATGATTTGTCTTTGAAAGAGTTTAAGAGGACATTGGATATCTATTTTAGAAATAATGTAGCTTATAAGTTGTAGAAATAGTAGTAATAGTAAAATAGGCCAAATACTGAAATAGTCCTTTGTTACTGTTACAGTGTTCTTTACAATTTGGATTAAGTTAGAAATGAACATGAAAATAATACCTTTTTTAACTAATATAAGCTTAGGCACAACCAATTCAACATGTTACTCTTAGGTTTATATAGTTTTTTCAACAAAAACAAATGTTTTCATTAAAGTAGTATTAACAGTTAGTACAACTAGTTTTAGCTGATTGTTAGTTTACTACTACTACTACTAGTACAAACCTAGTGTTACCTTACCTCACTTACAAGCCTACTTTTGCTTAGTTTGCCTAAAATATTTCATTTTTAGCTGATTATGCTTTTAAATAATAGTTTTCTTGATATGTAAAAACATCATATATTTTCACTGGCAGTAATATGATTGCTACTGGTGATGAATGATCAATTGATTGGTAATCGTATACAGACATAAATAAACTCATTTAAATTTAAATGATGACCAAATGTTGACTACAGTGTAATTTGAATAAAATAAAACAGAACTTTAATACAACTCTTGGTAAAAATGAATTAAAACCAGCATAGGTTCATAACTAAACTTTGAATCTCCAATAACTTTTCAGTTCAAAATATATCATAAGTTTAAGTTGAACAATAACAGTTTAGTTGCATCGCAACAGACACGTGCAAAACTGTAATGTTCAACATAGAGAGCCTAGAAATAGAATGGGCAAGTAAAACTAAAAGTGATTATTTTGACAGTTAGTGTGCTCTCAGGTTGTATTTTATAAAGCAGCTAACCTCATTTCATGCTTTAAATAATATGGTTGCTTTATTTAACCTAAAATAAAAGGAAAAAACCGAACCATAATAAAATTTTACAAAACAATTACTCACTACAGTAATTCGAAGTCCCTTTCAGTTCAAAAGCGCCATCTATTACACAATACACACAATTCTTGTCGTCTGCTATAACTATTTAAAGGTATTATATATTAGTGAATCAATAGTAAGTCATCTTTTATCATTAGTACGTCGTATTGTTTGTTATAGGTAGAAGGAACTTATAGACAAATTTGTTGTTTTTTTTTTTTTGGTACACGAAAAAAAATACAAGTCAAAGTCACTTAACACTTGCCGGATTACTGTATTCAGTCCTATCTGGGCCGGGCCAAAAATGGAATCGCTGAGGATGCTCCTCTGCGTGTTAGTGAAAGTGTAGCCGCAACCGAAGTAGAGCTTACAAGAATAGCTTTTTTACCATGCGGTTCTTTTAGCTACTGTATAACAAGGCAATTCTTACAACGAGAATTAATATTAAAGAAATACTCACAGAAAAATACCGCTAAATATTCTTCCTTCTCTATAAGTTTTTCTAATTTCTTGCCGTCGACTTCTTCGATAATATCCTCTGGCTGCGGCTTTTTCTTCGCATCGCAAAGGAAAGTAAGCAGCAGCAAGAGGATCAGTCGCACGACACGAGCCATGTTCGCGGACCGGTCGTGATGCTCGTGTCCCATGAACCAACGCGAGGGCTGCTTGAAATCTGAGGAAGAGACAAAAGATGTACCACAGAACACCTACCACTGGGGGTACTAGGATGTGATTAGGGTTTCATGGTATTTTCGGAAGTCGACGAGTGAGCGTCTTTAAAAGGATAAACTTCAAGATCGAGTGATTTTAACTTGAAAGTCAACAGACTTTCTTACACGTTTAAGCCAAAAATTAAGAACTTAATACAAACAGATGCATATACTTCATTAGATAAATAGCTATTAAACTTGACACAAAAAACAACATAAAAGAAAATAATATACTTCGATAGAACTTTTATCTTATTTTGTGCAAAAGAATGTATAATAAAAAAAGATTATATTATTAGTTTCACTACTTAAAGATTCTCATTTTTATTTATTTAGTTAAGAGGGTGTTATTCATTATATTATATTATATATATTATATTATTATTATATTATATTATATATTAAATTATATTATTATTTGTTTGTTTGTAAATAAGCGCAAGGCTATAAAGTGGGCTACCTGCACTGTGCCCATCGCGGGTATCAAATCCCGAAGTTTAGCATTACAAGTACTAAGCTTACCGCTGAGCCACCGGAGGGCTACTATCGTTGAAAGCTCTTTTCTCTCATTCCAGAAAAAAAAAACACTTTGAGACAGGTAAAGGTTAATTTATTGAATAAACGTAATTATATTTTTACTCTGTTTAGAAACTGTGTTACCAAAAGTTCAAAACAATATCAGTGTCTGTTGCAGTTTTTATGAAAGACCTTATATGTAACATTTAAATCAATTATATCTTGAAGTTTTATAAGGCATTAAATGAAATAAAATCTTAATGAAACGTATTACGCGATGATAATCGTCGATAAAAGTAAAGCTTAAAATTTTCAGTTATATATTTTACGAATGGTAGTTTGAAGACAAACAAACCTCACAATAAAAGACGATCATTAATACAGGTGAAAAAAAAATGTCATCATCTGACAGTTTCTGATGGCTGAAGTGAGTTTAAATCAAAAATAGTAAAATTGATATCCCAATTCAATAAAATCCAAAGCTCTAAAATTGCTAGAATGATGACAACATGGAAGAATTATAGCAACATTAACCTGAGCAAAAATTTCACAAAGAAACAGCTGCCTGGCATGGCCTAATGGTTAGGGTGCTCGATTCGCAGCCCCGTCACACCGAACATGCTCGCCCTTTCAGCTGTGGTGGTGTTATAATGTTACTGTCAATCCCAATATTCGGTGGTAAAAGAGTAGCCCAAGAGTTGGCGGTGTGTGGTGTTGAGTAGCTGCCTTCTCTCTAGTCTATCAGCGTTAAATTAGAAATAACTCGAGTAGGTTTATGACAAATTCAAAACAAACCAAAAAAACAGCTTCTGATTGTCAACAGCAAAAAGAAATAGTTACGATGTTTTCTCGGCGTTATACCACAGTAATGCAACTAAGCCTAATGTGTGCTCAATAGATGCGCCTTTGTACAATACTGAGAAGTTAAATTTATCTACAGATTATGTTTCATTAGTCCCAACATCTTTTGTTATTTTTCATATCAGCACTTTTTCCCCTTCCTTAAACATGTTTTGTTTTCTTCTTATTTAATATTTACCTACAGCAAAAGTGCAAAATAAGACAACGGTTCCAATTTAATGCATAATGATTACGTAGAGTTGGGTATTCTTTTTTATGTTGCACCATTTGTAACATGACATAAAGCTGGGTATTTTTTTAATTTGCATGTTTTGTAACATGTGGAATTTCGTCTAAACTAAAAAAGACACACTAATCCTAAACAGGAATATTTCGGTCAGTATGTCAGCGCCATTTCTTGAAAATGCCGATTGTTCATGTTGACGACGTAAATATTTTCTTCAAAGTCTACCGAAGAACGTGACTGACACCAATTTTAACAAAATAAATTGTCAAAACGTAATAGCTGAAAAAAATAAAAACAACAAAGATTTATTCGGGAATATAATTGACATAAATTCTTACAAAATTAATCGTAGCAATTTAGTAATGGAAGAACAAAATCAGTGCTTTATTCAGTGTACAAAACAAAAGACTAAATCCTCATTCAGTACTCCTATAGAAGAAGAACGGGTTTATCATATAAAACTGCAGTTAGAACTGAACTAACGTTTACTGTCCAAAGATCAAGAAAACACCATATTACGTTTAAACTCAACAAGTGTTATGTATTTTATTGATTTCAACATTTTTCTTGATGTTGAGAATATAGCTCGTTTGAAATCCCCGATAATATGGGTAATAAAGTGCTGGAAAATACAAATTTTAGTGTCATGGTGGCCAGTGAATTTGTTCTATCTCATGATGTTTCTCTGCCATGACCACAATTTGCACTTCTAACCAGATTTCCTGAATACACTGTCGTCAATCAGACAATCTAAACATAACAAAAGAAACAGAAACAAACATTGACGGGAATGGGATCAGTTCTATTTATAGTAGTTTTTATAAGTGAATAAGAGTGTAACGTTAAGGAGTTATAGCTTCGTAGTAAAGAACCAGAGGCGTGATAGCAGTTTATTAATCATACTTTCAAGAGTTTGGTATCGTGGTTTTAAGTCTTTATTTGAATTGCAATAATTCATAAAACCCTTACATATAAGTGATCATAAAAGTTATATTTGGCTAATCAGCTGAATCCAGAGAATAAATACAATAAGATATCAATTAAGAATCATTCAACGTCTATAGATAACTTTATGCCAAACCGATCTACTTACATTACAAGTTTCATCCTTCTTCCGCTAGGAAGTTAGGTGTAATTACTGGTGTAATGAAATTCATTTGTTGCATTTGCTCCACAGCTCAAGTTCGTGTTACTGCTATTAGTACTTTCCAGATTATCTGCCAACAGATTGACTATCTCGAAAGCTACATCAAAATTTAACTTAAAAAAATTAAAACTATGATTAATCACAGTAATGGACAATTTAAGTCTGCAGAAAATAACAAAAAAAAAGTGGACTGTATTGGTTATAGATATATTAGCAACACCATCATGAACAAACTCAGACAAATTTTTTATCGTATTGGTCTCTCAAATTCTATATAATACAAGTCACTAACACCTTTGTTAATGAAATCCGTGCTTAAAGGTACATTTTCTTCAAATGAAGGTCGCTTTACTTTTTACAAGGGTATCACATTGTAACTGTTAAATATGCAATAGTACTTATATGTTGTTATATCAATTAGTTTTGAAGACTACACAGGAGAAACGTCCTCTATATGTGCAAGAATATACAAAGGAATGACGGCAGCTTGGTTCAATAAAAGTGACAAGAATGATACTACCGAGCGTATGATCAACAAACACGGAGTTCATGAAGTTACAACACTAAACACTACTAGTAAATTTCTTATTTACAAAGAAACTCAAGAGAGCGATTACAGTTAAAGAAATTTATTGTATAAAGGCTTCCTTTCTGTAATACATTGTCAGTATAAGTGCCGTTAATTACATTCTTGAATGTATATATAAATATATTTATTTATTGTTTATTTATTTAATAACCACTTCACCATCTTGCTTGGATCTGTTTAGGTTAGTAATATTGTCTTATTACTATTAACTAACCTGCGAAAATTCACGGAAAATACTATTCAAAAAACTTGCATGCCTAGTTTTGTACATATTTTATCAAATTTCAAGGAAAAAAATCCATTGATCGTGCGTTATGGGGTCATAAATATATATAAATGTAAATACTTGTTTTTAAAGATCCCTTAAATATCCATGTCAATTTGATTGAACTCCATGCGTTGGCTCAAACTTGAAAATTTGCATATTCTGTATTTATATTTCATTATTACATCCTGACCCTAATTTTAAATTATGTCAAATTGGTCAAACTTGAGAACTCCAAAAAACCCTTGATGCTACATACTTGGGGTTCCGAACGTGTTCGGAGAATATTCCTTTGTTTATATTATGTGCACATTTTTTGTTAAATTTTTTTTATAAGAAGAGTTCAATAATCAACAAATACATATTTATACATTTTCCCTGCTCCCACTGGCACAGCGGTATGTCTGTTTACTTACACCGTTAGAAACCGAGTTTTGATACTCGTGGTGAGAAGAGCAGAGATAGCCCTTTGTTTAGCATTGTGCTTAACTACAAAGAAACAAGAAAAACAATACGTATTCCCTATCAGCATAGTATGCCACGTCAACTTGCACATTCGCACCATAAGACTTGGTGTCTCTTAAGTGACTGATTAAACAACGTTTTAACTGAGGCTTTGCTTTTTAAACAGAACTGACCTGACTCGTTCTAATCTAGAACAAACGCCCTAAGTCGGCAACGGCGTGCATGACGCAAAGAATGCTAAATGCATCTCTAGGCACTGACATACGGATTCTGTGACCCGAATCTCCAGTTATTGTCTTGAAAAATTAGAATAGAAAACCATAATCGACCTAATACTGAAACGCCGAAAATTCTCGCGTCTATGGGCCCAAGCCCCGAATCTTTTAAGCACCTAGCGGCGCCTCTGAAGTATGCAGATTGAAATGCTATTATGGAATTGCTTAGCGGAAACCGGTACAGTACTACTAAAAATAGATGTGATTATTTAAAATAGTGATACATGATCCCACAAATTACCTACCAGCAGATAAGATATTTGTTAGAATACATTGTTATTGTGGGAACGCCTTTATTTCTGGCGATGTGTTATTATAATCTTTTTTTAATCATAAAACAGTGATATTAGTCTTATTGGATTTTTAAACACTACATTCTTTATTTGGTGTCTTACAGTTTTCCAAGAGCAGAAGTATGTAATAATGTTTCAACCACACAATGTCTTTCATATCCATTGTCAAAAACCGTTTTGCGCAATACCAGATTTCATTAAAACTATAATAAGCGTAATACTACTTTATCATGTCAAACATAATTTATTATAATCACTCCTCACCAG